AATATTTGTTTATCAAATTCAAAACATCATCTACTTTAGTAATGTTTTCCAGTAGGTATCAAATAATCAATGTTTTAACACTTGTAATATAAAAACATAATTCTTTATTTTGAAGACGGTTAACTTTGTCGAAAAATTTTTCCAGGAAAAAATTTAATTCTCTACCAGTGGTAGTCGCTTACCCTTCTGAAGCGTTGATAAGTTTGAAATTTGCAAATAAAAAATTCTACAATCTTGGAAAGAACAGGTAACAAAAGATTTTATTTTCTCTAATAACCAAAATTCTTTAATCCTTTTTTGTCATAACAAGTAGCTCAATTTTGATGTTATTTTGAATTATGTTTCATGTTTACAGATTAACAAAAATATTATAGAAATCACTTTTTAAAATTTAAAGAAATAAATATTCTGTTATAAAAATTTAAATTTAAAAATAAAAATTTGTTAATTATTTTTTATTGATATGATTTTACGGTTCGTTGGGAAATATGACTTTTTATATAGAAGATGTTTTACATAGAAGATTCAGGTAATAAATTCCTTGCAAATAAAGATCGACACGTTTATTGTTCAGTGTGGGAGTTCCATGAAGGTAGTATTTACTATTTTAGATCCATGTGTGTGTGTGTGTGTGGGGATAAACATTATTTAGAATCATTAAATATACCTTATTAAACAGTAAAATGTGATAAATTATAAATAATAATGGGTACCGAACTAAAAAAAAATGCACCCCAGACTCGAACCCGCGACAACTATGATCTATTTCGCTTCAAGGTGCCTTAGTTCCATTATTAGTGGTTTTAAAAAAGTGTAATTTTAAAGTTTTTTTTTATTACAAACATTTAAAATCGCCTCGGAAATAAATGTGTTGCTTGTTTATAATATTTTGGGTCCTCTAAACTTCACGAATGATTTTAAAACCGCCTTTACTTGTTTTAAGAAGCAGTAACCAGCAATACAATACCCACCACACACTTTTTCATTAAAGTTTTTGTAGCAATAAGCTCATTTTTGTTTACAACACTGTACTTACTTGCGGTGTGTTTCTATGAAAATTATTAGCACTGAATTCTGTCCTTGATGTCTGTTCTAAGGTATTCAATTATAGCGTTTTCAAAGAGCAAACAGGCACACAAGATTCATAAAACTCAACATTTTGACAACATCTCAATTTGAAAACGTAACATAATTTTTTAACAAAATTTCTATGGACAAAAACAAAGAGCAAACAAAATTTGTGGCTATGAAGACAAGCTGCTATCAATTTTTTCACCAAAATTTTGACTTGGTAATTCAACCTTAAGGTAGAACTATACTGAATAAAAAAATAAATCGTTATTTAAAAATTCTGAAAAAATCATCATAACATTTTGTTGGCTTTACCAGCAATATACACGATGACCCAGGGGTGCGTGCTAGCTCCATAACTTTTTTTTATTCAAGTTATCGACATGATATTTTTTAGGCGATAGATCCAACAATGAGACACATTATAAAAATATTTTTATTCATATACAGGGTGTCTCAAGATAAGATGCACAACTAAGTTCTGTTTTTTTTAATGAAAACCCCAAATTTTTGTTACATTTTTGGAATTGCCACTAAATTGTCAATATAGCCCACCTAGGTTTTTAGACTTATCTGCAATAGTTTTTGACTTATGCCAATTTATGTGTCAAAATTGCGTCGTGCCTACAACACTCTATATTTTACTGCACTACTATTGCATGGCATTTTTTATGAGCTTTTTGTCGATATAGGGTTTATAGAGTCTACTTTGTAAAATTAGACCTCATAAACCCCATATCGACAAAAAGCTCATAAAAAATGCCATGCAATAATGCAATAAAATATAGAGTGTTGTATTTAAAAAAATCGAGTTATTGCCATTTGTATTTTGTCATTTTCAAAAAATCGTAGTAGGCGATGTATCATCGACTCCAAGTTTGCCTTTATCTTGGAAAATGCGCCAACGCTTAAGGAATTGACTGGAAAAAGTTGGTTAAGTTATTTTGAATAGTTCTGAAGTTATGAGTTTTTTTGTGGGTCTACGGACGACGCAATTTTGGCACATAAATTGACATAAGTCAAAAACTATTGCAGATAAGTCTAAAAACCTAGGTGGGTTATACTGACAATTTAGTGGCAAAACCAAAAATGTAACAAAAAGGGGTTTTCATTTAAAGAAACAGAACTTAGTTGTGTATCTTATTTTTGGACACGCTGTATATAAATAAAAATAATTTTATAATGTGCCTCATTGTTGGATCTATCTCCTAAACAAAACCATGTCGATAACTTGGATAGAAAAAAAGTTATGGAGCTTGCACGCACCCCTGGGTCACCCTGTATATTAATTTGAAATTTTTTGTCCGTGCCGTTTAAAAATAAATTTAAAGAAACCTCTATTTTTGGTGATTTTATTTTATTTTATAACAAAACTGTACGGAAGACTTTTTTGATTTATTTTTGGTGTATTGTAGATTACCTACTTATATTACTGTATTTTCTCATGCAATTTAAATAATGCGTTTTTTCATAAAAATAAAAAATAAAAACTATTGAATTTTGCAATCCGTTACAAATACTCAAAATGAGATAAAAACTCTGTGTTACTGTGTGTGAGAAGTACTTTTTTAATTCAGGAACAACATCCAATTGTAAAAAAAACAATTTGTTTTCTGTATTTCTTAAAAATTTAATTTTCCTTTTTTTCAATTGAAAACTTATTTGAACGGCTTTCCTTCTGTACACAAGCGACAAATTCTTCTGGTAGTACATTTTGGAACTGGCTAGAGACATGCCATCTACGGAACGGCAGAGTAAATAGTTTGAGAACTGTAATTTTGTAATTTTCTGTAAAAAGACTAAAAATTGCAAAAATTTCAAAGGAAAAGTTAATTTTTTTTAATAAATTATGTACTATATTTTTTGTTTGTTCCGATTCATTTTATTATAACTATCATTGTAGCGTCATAATCTATTTATCTTTCTGTTTTAAGTCATGGAAATTAAAAGAAACAAAGCAAAATTAATTATTTGAAAATTGACCAAAATGCTAATACCAAGAATTAGTTTTTTTCCATTTAGTTTCGCACCTTCTGATCGATATGCTATTATTAAATTAAATTTCTAATATTAGTGAAATGTATGTGACAAAATGGATTTACATTTGCGTAAGATAAGATGCATACTATTAATATTTTGAATTGGGAAAAAAGCAATTTTGTTAAAAATTCAAATATAATTTTATAAATTAGTAACTAGATTATTTTGTTCTAAAAAAAGAACTGCTCCTAAAATATAATTTAAAATAGAAATAAATAAAAGTGTAAGACTTAATTTCACGGTTCCTTTATAGAATTCTAGGAAAAAAGAGAAAGTTGGTTCAGGAGCTATCTGGCCGGGATTCCCTAATTGTGGAAGAAAACAAAAATCATACGTAAATAGTAATTATTCATCTAAATTAAAAATTGTTGGTTCTAGTATGACCGACCTCCTTACTAAATTTTTTCTAAATAAATCAGAGTTTCAACATTATTTTTTTTTATATTTTGTATCCACTTGCCTAGCCGAAGCCGGGTCTAAGAGTTTTATTATTTTATGATCGTATTGTTATTTCTACCCTTCCGTGATTGTTTACCTAACTGCTGAGGGTCAAGATCCTTGAAGCCAGTTTCGAAAAAACTCCTCTAGTGGCTAGTAGAAATATGAAAAAAAAATAAAAATAAAATAAAATAAATGAACCAATTCTTTGACTGGGATTAAGTGTATGTTGGGTTGTCGGCTACGGCGCTAAATATGGCGTCACCCTGTGTGCCAGAAACACATTACTTCCCAGTATAGTTCAAACTTAAAGAAAAAACAGACTTTCAGGGGTAGCCGACAAGTATAACCAAGACCGTTTTCGATAAATTTTAGTTATGGCCCGGCCCCCAGAGGTCGCCATTAGCATTCTCATAATGAAGTTTATTTATTTTTTGCAAATGTTATTTTTATTTTAAATTTTCATTCACAAAGGTAGACGATAGGTACACAACATAAACAACAAATTTAGGTTTTAGCTTTTTTTGTTAGATTTATAATAAAAGAAAGAAATCTAATTTATTTTTATTGAAACAAGTTGGTCATGAAACATTATTTCAAAATTTGAACTTTCAACGCAATCAATATTGAAAAAATACAAAATTGAGTCTTGTTTGTAAAATAAATTCTTGGAATTTGAAGTAAAATTGATTTTTGTACTAAACTACGAAAATAATTGCTAATTGTTTAGAATGAGTTTCCACAAACGAACTTGTTCGGTGGTAGGCTGTCTTTTAAATCAGGGCCTCTCTTTCGGTTTCCGCGTCCGGAAAAGAAGTCAGAGAGGTTCAGATTGTGGGTGGAAGCTACAGGACATCAAACTATTATAAAGCTAAGTCCGGGTGAAATTTCCAAAAGAAGTCGCATGTGTAACTTTTTGCCAGACCAAATTAAGAGCTCCGGTGTGTTTAAAAGGCTGTTCCCCAACTTATTGCGTTACCAATACCACCATTGATCTGTCTTTTTCCATTCCACAAAAAGAAGATATAGAATTATCGAAAAGGTGGTTTTATAGTCCACGAAAAAGAGTGACTCCAGTGGAAGGTATAAATAAATACATACAGGCAACCAAGCGTTTTTTTTTAATTATTTGCCTCCAGAAAATAATAATTAATATAAATTAAAGTGATATAAAAAATGTGATTGTATTTTATAGTTATTTAGTCGACGAGTTTGAGTGTAAATCGGACTCTTTATTTGACCCAGTGGATTTTTAAACCACGAGTGTAACGAGTGGTTTACCATCCACGAGGTGGAATAAAGCGTCCGATTTACACTCAAACGAGTGGAATACAACATTTTATTCTTCGAATTAGAGTCAACAAGGCTTAATCTTGCTTTAAATCTGTTAAAAATAATTTGACGTTTTGTATTGAGAAATGCCAAAAGTTGTCAAAACTTCCTTACACGGGAGAAAAACCGTAAATTTTGACAGTGTCGAAAAATAAAAAATAAAATTTTGTCCAAAACATGTGTTTTGAATTTTTGATTTATTTTTAATAATGAATAATAAATTGGAACAAAACATGTTTTCAAAATTGCCGCCTTTTCTAGTTTTCGGGCCAGACGTGTGATGACGCCACACAGCAACTTTTAAAAACCAGGGGTTCTATTTTGTCGGTGTTCTGTGCAGACATTACGGCATATCACTGATTACCCTGATGGTTCACTCTTAAGCGGCACCTTTGAAGTCGCTTTTTCAGAATCTGTGACCTCGCTTGAAACGCACATAGTACTCATCTTCCCTAAGCATAGAGTTTACACTGTTTACAGCCTCAACCAATGGTAATGCAGCGCGCTCTGACATTCTTGACAGTGACACTAGTGTTACAAACATGGAAGTTTAAAAAGTTACTAGAATAAAAAGGATAGAGAAATATCTGCTTTAACATTGCGTATGGGAGACACAATTACAGTTGGAGACAAAATACTTTGGTCGTCACTTTTCTGACACTTTAATGTAATTCAAGCTTTAACGTTAAAATGAATGACAATTTCAAATTAATGACAGCTATTATATCTTCCTATCAAAAATATGTACCTACAACTTGTCAACTATGATTGACAGTAGCTAAAAATAAGGTTAACAGTCCTAAAGCATGCTTTACAATTTAATGTCACTCAAGTGACATTGACGACCAAAGTATTTTGTCTCCAACTGTACGTTCAAAATAAAATTTGAATCAAAAAGTGGGGGGAGTGAACCATCAGGGTAATCAGTGACTGCATGCACTGAACTCGTATTAATACGAGTTCAATGACTGCATGCTTGTGAAACAATGACATAAAAAGACTGGTTTACAAAATATACAAACTAGTCATTTCATTCTTTTGACGTCAAAAGTGTTTCTTGCCGTCACGTAGGTCATTTGTAATTTTATTTTTGATAGGGAAAAGTGTTTTAAGGCAAATATTTATACTCTATAAATTTATATCATCATACCAAAATGTCAGTCGCTGTTAAATGTCAAAACAGACTGAGTTCATCAGGTGTTCTTGATTTACACTACCTCCATCAGCAAATAAATTTAAAATGAACAATAATAATTTAAATTTTTCAAACATAACAAAAGCCAAGTTGTGTGAGAATGTATTTTGGGTTGCGTTTAAAAATCGGTCAAGGTCTTTATTATAAATGTCTTAGCTAGTATAAACTTATTTTTATAAAAAAAAAACATAAAAAGTGGATTAAATAACTACACTGATATATATTTTCAAAAATCTTTATTGTTTGAGACATAACATTATTTTTATCGATACAGTGAATGTTACTATGTTCTGGATTCTGGATTGAATGTGGAGAGTGAAGGACTGCAAGTCCCTCCGGCACTGAGGCCTCTCATTCGGGCCCATTGTGCCACCTCTCCTAAGAAACATGCCCCACGCCCGTTTTTATTCCTCAAGCCAGCCGACAGTGTCGATGAACTTGAGGATCTTCCCGGGTGGAGTGCTGCCTATACTGGCCATACTAGACCAGAAATCCCCCAGCATAGATCCTCTCGTTGATGCGAGTGCCGGACAGTAGCAAAGCACGTGTCTTGCTGATTCGTCATCTTCTAAGCATCCCCGGCATGTGGGATCGTCGACGGCACCCATTTTCTGGAGATGCTGATTTAGACGGCAGTGTCCCGTCCATATTCCAATGAGTCTCCGGAGTTTATCTCTGGAGAGATCAAGGCAGTATTTGGCTCTTTTCATACAGGGTTTAGCCATTGCAGCTTTACTCTGCATGCAGCCTTCGGTCTTTTTACACCTAGCAGTATGTTTGCACAGTGTGTCTTGCTTTATCATGGCACGAAAGGTAGTCGTGGCTAGTGCCACATTCGGCGTAGGACCAGAGGTTGGTCTCTCTGAGCCGAAGCGCGCCAGTTTATCCGCCTCCTCGTTTCCAGGATTTCCATCATGTCCTTTGACCCACGCGAGCTCATCAACATTTTCTTTCGCTAACTCCGCCAACTGCAAATGACACCGCCAGATCAATCCGGAGGAAATTCTACATTCCTCCAGTGAACATAGCGTAGCTCTTTGTGGTCCGTCAATCAGAAATTAACTAAGCTCCTAGGACCACACCCATAATCTCTGGTGTGCGTTTCTAGAGCAAATGATTTTCGGATTACAAGGTCTTCAGAGTATATTCCCGACCCTGAACCGGTATTATTTTTCGAACCATCCGTGTAGATACAGATGTCCGGTTTTGTTGATTGCTCTTCGGAAGTGAGCATGATGCTGTAGGGTTTTTCGAAAACGTATTTCGCGGGTGCACGATCTGTACCCAGATTTAGAAGAGGCATCCTCTCGGATGCCTCTGTCAAAATGCGGGTGTGTCGCGCTGCCCTACCCTTCATGTTCCATTGTCCCGCAGCTCGCAATCTTATGGCAGCCTCTAAAGCAGCCTCCTCCACGAACATGTCGAGAGGAGGGATGCAAAGGGCTACCTCTATTGCAGCCGTAGGAGTCGATCTCATAGCGCCGGTTATTGCAAGACAAATAAGTCTTTGCAAGTGCCCAATGCGCTTTGTTTCGTTTTTCTGTCTGACCCGAGGCCACCAGACAACCACACCGTAACAAAGATGGGCCTAATAACGGCAGTGTACATCCAGAGAAGGATTTTCGGGTTGAGTCCCCATGATCGTCCTATCATCCGGCGACATTGCCAGTAGGCTGCACATGCCTTGTTGACCTTTGTTTCCAAATGTTCGCTCCAGTTTAATTTGCTGTCAAGTACAATTCCCAGATACTTTACAGAACTGGCTACCTATTTGGAGCTGGGTCCCCTTAAGTTTAGGAAGATTTAATTTCCCAAACTTTCGTTTTTTCGTGAAAAGTATCATCTCTGTCTTGCTCGGATTTACCGAGAGAGCGTGCTCCGTACACCATTTTTCGACTACAGAGAGTGCAGTCTGCATTAAACTGCATAGCACTTCTTCGTGTCTTCCTGTAAGCAGAATGACCAGGTCATCAGCATATCCTATCGTGTAGAAACCGGCCTCATTGAGACGCCGCAGAAGGCTATCCACTACTACGTCCCATAGTAGCGGGGATAAAACTCCACCCTGTGGCATGATACTATGAGTTAAAGATATGATACAGCGGTGGACGAGTTTTGGAACAGTCCGCGCATGACGTCATACAGATCTAATATTCGAAATCGGCAAGATCCATTACACGTCTTTACAAAACATAACTCGTAATATTTCAAAAACTACAATTTCTAGAAGAATGAAATTTTAGACGAATATTTAGCAATATATGCTGCCTCTAATAGTGCTTTTGCTGTGGTGATTTCTTATCTACTTTTTAAGAAAAAAAATAAAAACGTTGCATTGTAAGAATTTGTAATGAAAAATGTACCGTCGAATAATTTTTTATTTTTAAAAGCTTTCCTATGTTTATTCGAGCAATATTGCGGTAAAAAGTTCAAATTTTTTTTTTGGTAAAAGAATTTTATTGATCAGATTATTTTAACTAAAGAAATCTATACATAAACATTGAGGTGAACAACGCCCGTCTTTTCAGTCCGTAAAAAAGCGCTTTGTGCTGCGTTATTAGTTATTAAAGTTGGTAATAGAGTACACAGGGTAGATATTTGATTATTATTTATTTTAAACCAATAAATATTCTCACAAAATAAAAAATAAAAAAGCAAACATCTTTTTTAAGTAACAATTTTTATATATTTTTTTCTCAGACGACTCGAGTCCCGACTTAATTTTTCGTTTAAAAATCTAATTCTAAAATACATTTTGCAGCGGAAAAACATATTTTTTGCTTTTTCATCTAAATCAATATTTCTCGCCTGCTCATTGTGCAACTTCAAATAATTAGAAACTTGTTTTAATTGGCTGCCATTAATGTTAAAAAATATTTTTTCCAATTTTTGTAGTTTTAGCATGAATTCTGAAGTGGGTTTATATAGCCCACCTTCAGAAAGATGGTTTGTCCATGTATAGAATTGTTCATTTTTTAACTGTGACGTTGGAGATCCTAAAATATAATTTCAATTAAAAACATCTCGTATATTTATGAAAAAAATGAAGCCTGTTAAGATTGCCCTTGCACTGAACAGCAAATCTACATTCATTAATCTAAAACTACTTTGMSTCTCTCTTTGTATTAATTACTAATTAATGCAAAACTAAGCATGCTCTTAAAAAGTACAAGCCCATATTTTACCGCTTTTATATTACCAAGAATCAAAGTTCATTGCAATTTTTATTTTTCTACAAATCGAATTAAAAATTAATTCGTTGTTAAAAGTTAATGTGCGATTAACTCGTGAATCTGAGCATTTAGTTGTTCAATTTGGTCACGTTAATCTGACGATTGATTGCAATTAACTTAATGACGCTTCTAAAAACTGACCCTGCAGCGTTACACTACATTACACTACTTTAAATTACCACCACCTRAAAAATAAAATATATTCTGTTCAGATCACCCAAATGGAAGACCTAAAAATAAAAAAATAAAAATAAAAAATAATTCTTTTATAAATCCAAAAAACATGTTTTCTCTCTTTTTTACCAAGAGATGGATTCTCTTCTCTCAATTTAAAAGCAATGTAACCCCCAATATTCTCTAATCCATCAAATTGGAGGTCAGTAAGTTCATGGACGGGTTCGTCATCATTGTTGTCAACGTTCAATGTATATAACAGTTCTGATGTTATTAATTGATCTTCTTTTGCTGTAGATGTTGTAAAAGAATCCTCAAGATTAAAAGTAACTTCAGTGTTCACCTCTTTTACGTTAGCTTCTTCCGATAAAGCTCCCTCGTTTCTACCAAGAATATATTTTCGTAATCGATATTTAAAATCTAAAGCCTTTGGGTGATCATTTAAACCACCTTTGGCTCTCATTATAGAGAAAAACCCTTCTAATTGATCTTGATTTAAGCGATATGTTAACAAATACAAAATATTATAAGACTCTTTCATATCAAGAAACAAAAGTTTCAATGCTTTTATGCTCATTATAATCGCTTTCTGAAATGGTAAAATTTGCTTTCTGGTACCAACTCTTAAATTTTTAACTAAAGATTCCATTTTATCTAACACAACGTTTTGCTCATCTAGATTACTATAAGCTCGTTTTCGACTTCTTGAATCTGTCTCAGGCACGATCGAATTAAAGACATCAAACCAGTCGTTTACAGTGTGAATTAGGTTTGCACATTCAGACCAACCCTTAGTTTCACAGATTCCAAGTGACACAACTCTAGTTAGAGCACAGGCATTGGAGTGAGAAAACAYTTGTGTGGCCCATTTCACTTTTTGTCTTTCGGCATTTTTTACAGTCAAAACGTGATCACTTAATTTGTAGGCTACATTTAAATCTGATGATGAAGTATGTTTACGCAGTTCAAATAGTGGTTCCTTAGTTACCAGAGTACCATCAATTAAAAAACCACTATCCAAAAAATGATTGCGTAGTAACTTGATTAGATGGGGTGCATCTCCAAACACATATATTTTTTTCCCATTACTTGGATTCGCAAAAAAAGGTTTCTCTTCGTTAACGTTTAGTTCTGTCCATAGTTTTCTGTTGCTTCCTCCTAAATCACTAACAGTGGCGACAACATGGTAACCACTTTCTTCCAATTTTTTAATAATGTCGAATAAAATTTGTTTATTTAACTGACAATCATATCTAAAAAGCATAAGTAAATTTATTGGAAAATACGATTACAGCAAAATATTTATAATAACCCAAAAAATATTGGCTGTTTCCAATTTGCAATCAATCCTTTGGCCATAATTACTTGAACGTAATTAGAAGGTGACAAGATAGTGTCATTTTTTTTGTCGTATTCCCACGATTTTTTAATTTTCATTTCGTCAGCAGCTATTACACAAATTTTTTCAGTTACAGACAGATTTGCATTTTTCATTAATTTTAAAGAAATATCCAAAACCCCCGGCTCTATTCGAATTTTCTGGGCCCATTTTCTTAAAGTAGAAACCGCTGGTAAAGGATGGCCCTTTTTACGAAGGAAGCGATAAGCCCGTGGTCCAGCTGCATGCAGTGCTATAGCGTTTGATATGTCATCCACAGTCCAAGTAATTCTTTTTTGAGGATTCTGTAATTTTCTTAACTGATTTTGAGAAAAAATAGATGTAATAGTTCTCTTTAACGAGGTGTTCTGATTTTCCAAAGTACTAATTTTTAATTTGTAATCATCAATTTCTTTTTGCAGTCTTTTAATCTCAAAATCTCTAGGATCTTCAGATGCTCTAAAATCACAGGTAGAAACAAGTACAAAAACTTTTAATTTTATCTTTTATTTTATTAGTTATTTAGCATTTTAAAGCTTAAAAGCAAAATAATAATAATAAATAATAAATAAATCACCGATAACCTATATATTATACCTATATATAGAGTGCGCCACAACTAGCACCCCAGAGAAAAATGCCATGTAAGGTAAGATGCCAYGAACATGGAAAAAATGTTTAAAAAATTCTATCTGTCAAAAAATGTTGACATTTATTTTTTGACATTTGACATATTTTTATGTGTATTTAATGATACTGATGATCTTGTATATGTTTTTTTACAATTATTTAGTAAAGGTACAAAAATTTTGCCAATAAAAGCCACAAATAACATTGAACAGAGTTATAATTTAGAATACAGCTTCCTTGTTTCCTCTTTTAATAGCKTATAGCAAAAAAACTTGGAAAATTATTTTTCCAACAGAAATAAATAGAGTCAAAGTGCAAAATTTAAACCCTCATAACTCCGAAATTTTTATAGATAATTTTTTTTTAACATTTTTTCCATGTTCCTGGGATCTTACCTTACATGGCATTTTTCTCTGGGGCGCGAGTTCTGCCGCATCCTGTATATAGTATATATATGTATATGTAGATATATGTAGATATATCTACTTATACCTGCCACTTACCCTTCAAAATGAATCATTTGTTGAGTATCACTCTCTGGTACCCTACAAAAAATGTATATTATAATCAAATAAAGTTTACTCTTAGGGTGAGTTGCACCAACACTAGTTAAATTTAATCTCGGATTAAATAGTAACCATTTTTGTACTCATAGTTACAATTGTTCTTAATCAGAAATTAAATTTAACTAYTGTTGGTGCAAACCACCCTTAGTCTAATACCCTTACTTATTAGTTATCACCGAATTTTCTCCATCGGTATCATTAAACATATCTTCATTAGAAAACTGTGTCTTATTAGCATTATTCTTAGTACTCTCTTCTTCTGACAACCTAAAAAATAATACTTTTAACTTATGAATTCGTTATGTCAAAAAATTTAATCAGTTTACGAAGTCTGAAGAAAAAATAATGTTTTATTCAGAGTAAAACCGATTTTTGTGACTTAGGTATCTGTAGTTGCAGGCCTCGCTGCGCTCTGCCGTCTGGAGACTTGTCATAAAAAGAACGCTTTTATTCCCAATAAAACAATATACATACTATTATTTATTCTCTATATAAATTTAAATAGTGTCTTAAAATAAGTAAGTATACTCACTTGTTGAATAACGTTTTTTTTAATGTCCGAACTTTTACCCTGTCTCTTCGTTTACTACCAACGTCTTCTTCATAATTTCTTGGTAGTTTGAGACAGGGAATAGCGCCAGGTTTCAGTTTTCTAAATTTAGGGGTGTACCCTAAAATTTTTGAATCATATTTCATCATAAAATCTTCATTTTTAAAATGATCGGAGCAGACTCTGGCATTCTCAATTTTAAATTGTTCTTTTCTACTGCATCTAAAAACCCATTGTTTTTGCAGATCTTTATTTTGAGGAAAACAAAAAAAATTTATTATTCGGGGTGGTCCATTATTCTCTGTATAATTTTTGTTCCGCTTATTACTGTTGTTCTTGCAGCCAAATACCGCACAATACACCATTTTTAAAAACCTAAAATAATGTTATATTTGTACATATTTATATCATATTCGATTAAGAAAATTTATCCTTCAGAAGGCTATCACTATGATGTGTCCTTTCATTTTTAACGTATACTGACATAAAATATTTTACAGCGTTCATTTTTCGATCGTATAATGTTACAATTTATTTCATTTTTGTCTAAAAAAATTATTAATTAATTAATTAATAAAACGTGAGTACCTAAATGTTTATATTAACAAATTTCAAATAAGAGAAAATAAAAATTCAGAATTTTTTGAAAAAGTCCAGGATTTTTGTTAGTTTTTAGTTTAATTCATCAATTTGCATAATTCAATGCAGTTATAATTTTAAGAACAATAACTATTATTATTAATAAAATAAAATAAAATTTACAAGAGAGACATCTTCCTTAATTAGACTAATTTGTGAGATCATTTTTCTTCGATTGCACTACACTTTCTTTTACCTAATATTAAATTTCAATACGTTTTTAGATCATTGCTGTAACAATAGAAAGATCATCGTGTTTACAAAGAAATTAACGTTAATATAATTAGATTAATTAAAGTGAGGTGCAATTGACCATAAATCATTTATTCCATAATAAAGTCTGAGGCTGCAATAATTATATTAGATTTTAGCGACAAAGGTATCGACGCTTGGAAGTAAAATATTGTATTAATCGTAAAGATGAATTAATTATAATTATTAACTTACCGTAAAATCTATGTTTGTGAGATTGTTAAAGCACGTAACCACACGGTTTTAATGTTATCTTAATAATTTGGCGCGCTAAAAGGCACGGCATGACGTCACGATCGAGCGAGACAGACGATACAACATGCGCAATATCATATCTTTAACTTATAGTATCATG